CAACATCTTTGTTGGTATGTGGTGCTGAGGATCGAACCCGGGCCGCACGCATGCCAGGCGAGCGCGCTACCGCTTGAGCCACATCCCCAGCCCGCAGAGCTTGAGGCTTGATTTTAGATTTGTTGTGTTTGCTTAGTATTATGTTTGTTAGTTTGTCATTCAAAAAGATGGGGGTCTTTTAAAAGTTAATGTCCTAATTTTTGGGTCTCCCTAATTGGATATCTGTCACCCCATCCCTGTCCTCACCCAGTGGGTATTCCCTTGGAGTGGACAGTGTCTCTGTCGATGAGCACCCTTGGAGCTTGCCACTTCCTTGATTCTACCACAACTTTACGTTAGGACTTGCAGGACTGAGGTACCTTGTTGGGGTCCATATTGTGTAATGTAATGAGCCTACCACATAATCAATCCTATGTGTATATTATTATCCTGTTGTTTTTGGCTTTTTTTGGTGGCAGTTTGCCAACAAGGTCTATGCTTGCCTTTCCCTAGTCCATATTAGGTAGCCAATCAGTTACCCTGTCCCCAGTGGCAGTCTTCATCCATGTTACCCCTTGCGGTGTCCCCACTGCCTTCCTCTATACTATATCCCATGAGATATGCCTGAGGCCTGGCTGGAGGGATGGCATCCCACATCTGGTGTTGCCCACAAGTACTTGTTCTTGCACTCACCCTGCCTAGTTAGTTGATCCTTGCTCAAACACATGCCTGTATCAAAAATTAGTCTGGGGGTATCTAAGTACTTGATATGGTTATGTGAATGGCTTTGGTTGGCATTCAGCTCCTACCTGGATAACTTGGTAATTTTTTAGTTAATTTACATCTGTGGTGCCGTTCGTTGGCTCTGGTGATTGTAGATAACATAGATCAGTTGCAGAACCCCATCACCCTGTCACATTTAGGTGGTGTTGCAGTGCCTTCTGCGGCCATGGAATGTGACTTGGAATATAGTTCATTCTGCAGAGGGAGCCTAATAAACTAATAACTCTATCCAAGGAAGGTAAAGTGGAGTGAAATTTTCTACTCTCAACCCTAGAAGGCAGTGACAAAGATAACACAGGGCTCTAGAGATCTTGGAATAGATACTTTTTTTGAGGAGTTCCAGGAATTAGATTGAGGCGCTTTACCACTGAGGTACATCTCAGCCCTTTTTATGTTTTATTTTGAGACAGAGTCTTGCTAAGTTGCTTAGGGCCTTGCTAAATTGCGAAGGCTGTCTTTGAATTTGCAATCCTTCTGCCTTAGCCTCCCAAGCCACTGGGATTACAAGTCTGCACTACTGTACCAGGCAGGGTGCTCTAAATCTTTTAAGGAGGGTAATGTAATGAGCCTATCACATAATCATTGAGCCAATGATTACAGGGCGAGTCTGGTGCTGACAGCCAGTTTCAGTGCCCTACATTGAATTTACTGAGTTAAATGGCTTGTAGTTGATCCTGGCACAGGGAAGGGTTTGTTGTCAGGGAGCTCCTGTCTGTCTCTTAGGCCCTCTTTGTTTTCAGCTGTTTCATTGGGGCTGAAGTATACATGTGGAGAAATTGTAGCATCCAGAGCAGCTATAGGCTGCCTGGATACCGTTGCTGGGAACTGTGGAATGGGAATGTGGTTCTGTTTTCTTTTGGAACTTTGTGGAGAATGATTAAGTATAAGGTGGAGGTATTTGTGTTGCACCTCTAGAGCTCTTAAACCAGTATAAATCTTAAACCAGTGTAAGACCAACTGAAGTGAAAACTTTTGCCAAGGATGTTTTCATTACTCAAGGATGAAGGTGAAATGGGGAGTTTTTAAAAGGGTTAGGTCCTATGTAGTTTTGACCATGAAGGTTGGAAATGCCTTCTATAGACTCTGCCTGCACTTAATTTGAATCAATACTGGCAACTTCACCAGACTGTGCTATGGATGGAGCTTTCTTTGGATGGGATGTGTGACTTTTCTCTTTTGGTGGGGAGATTTGTCTGGTTAATTGATTAATAGCATGATAACCAGTTAACTGATTCTTAGCACTTGGTATCTCTCAGCTTTATCATGTGGCTTTTGTCACCAAAAATTTAAGCAGCCCAAGTCTCTGACTCTTGTGCACATGGTCCTAGGTATCAGCATTTGGCCCTGAGGGATAACTGAGGAGGTCTACATAAAAGTAATAACCAGATTTCAATATGTGGACCTGTGGAGGAGCTTTCCGAAGCAGGCTAGTGAGTGAGCGCGTGCCAAGGATCAGTTGTGGTTTTCTTCTGAGCTGTGTTGTTGGCCACCTCAGGCTAAAGAGCAGACAAAATGTTTTTCTAAAGCTGCTTGGTGTGGATGGTGGGGAAAACTGTCATTCTTTACATAGCTATAGATCCTGGACTCCCATGGCTTCTGCTTATGGTGGCCTCTGGTTTACCTTTCTGACTTGGCATCTTTGTGGTCTAGTCCTCTCAACTCTAAATATGTGTATTTTTTTTAAAGATGTTGATAGACCTTTATTTATTCATATATGGTGCTGAGAATTGAACCCAATGCCTCACACATGCTAGGCAAGCTAGGCAAGTGCTGTACCACTGACCCATAACCCCGGTGCCTATGTTTCTTGTTCTTGTGGAAGAGGTTAGGATAGGGATTTCTGTTCTTTGTTGCCACCTGCCCTCCGCTGTTATTGATTTGAGTCCTCAGGTATATTTTTGTGGAGCTTAAATTGTTAGGACTGTTTAAACTGCTAAACTATGAGGATTAAAATTGTTAGAGTACTAATGGTGATTTGTTTTTGCATATATTTTTTCAATACTTATAGGAGAGTTTAGTTTTAAAGAAAATCAACAGTTTCTGTTATTTTCAACTTTATTTATGGAGCCAAGGAACAACTACCTTTTAATCTATTTTCAGAAAACTTAGTTTCAGATACACATTTGCATATCATCTTAATCATGATTGTCAGTTCTCCATGCTATTTTGCCAAGTGACAGATTATTGTTTTGACTAAAAATATTTTTGTATTGGTGGTCTTTTTTTTAGAGAGAGAGAGAGAGAGAGAGAGAATTATTTATTTATTTTTTAGTTTTCGGCGGACACGACATCTTTGTTGGTATGTGGTACTGAGGATCGAACCCGGGCCGCACGCATGCCAGGCGATTGCGCTACCGCTTGAGCCACATCCCCAACCCTGTATTGGTGGTCTTTAAAAAAATTTATAACCAAGAGTAATTCTATTTTTCTTTTTGTTAACAGACATATGTAGAGTGTGTCGGTCAGAAGGGACACCTGAAAAACCTCTTTATCATCCTTGTGTATGTACTGGCAGTATTAAGTTTATCCATCAAGAATGGTAAGTCATAATTTTAGAAAATTGTATAACTCTGAATTTCAGTTTTGTCATCTACACAAGAAGAATGATCATTTCAGTGAACTTGCTCTATAATTATTTTTAAAATTTTTGTTGTAAAAATTTGAAAAATTGGAAAAGAAATTCCCATAGTTCTTTAAGCCATGCTTGTTAATTTGGTATAATTGTGAGTATCCTCTTATTTATTTCTAGCATAGAGAAGTTATTTTATCTTAGGGAAATATTTTCTTTTTTAAGTTTTCAGTGGCATAATAATAGCTTACATGTATGAAATACTTTGTATCAAGAACTATTTTCATGCTTTACACATCCTAATTAATCTTTACATGAGAATTGTGAGGTAGAGTATTATTGTTATATAGACAAAGAAATGAAAGTATAGACAGGTTAAATAACTTTTCTTAGGCCATGTAGTCAGCCAATTAGTGACAGAACTAGGATTCAGACCTAGTTACTAGGTACTAGTATTAACCAATATTAAAACTGATGATGATGCTTGGGATTTTCTTATTCATTTAACTTTGAAGAGATTTTAATTTATGTTGAATGAACCTTTTTAAGAGAAATAATATATGTATATATATATTTTTTTGTCTTTAGCAGTTGTAAATTCTGTAATCTTAGAAGGCAGATAAAGGTTTAAGCATGTTCTAAATTTGAAATTGTCAAAATTGTTAAAAGCTCTATAATATGTTAAGTTTTAATAAAAACAGAACATTAGTTTTCAGTGAAACTTCAGTTTGTTGTAAATATTGTATTTATGAATGTATTTGTAATTACAGCTTAGTTCAGTGGCTGAAACACAGTCGAAAAGAATACTGTGAATTATGCAAACACAGATTTGCTTTTACACCAAGTAAGTTCTTTAGATGTTTTCACATTTAATTATTACTGGGAGCAAAAGGTGTTTTAAATGATTGTAAAGCATCAATTTTTAATTTTATTGTCTTTGATAGTAATAGGAAAAAATGCTTTTTTCATTTAGGAAAATATTTTTTAAAATGGTCATCTAACACACATGTTTTATAGGACTCTTTCCTTTTAATTATAGACAAGTTCAAGCATATACAAAGGTATAATGAATTCACATGATGTACCTATCACTCGGTGTCACCTGCATCTCAACCCATGGCCTATTTTACTTTGTCTATGCTTCTTTATTTCCCCATCCTTTTTGTTTATTATTTTTATCTGACCTTTTAAAAATAATCCTGTCATTTATATTTTCATTTGTACATTTTTTTCAGAATGTGGCTCTTAAAATGTAAGGATTCTGTTTTAAAAAATACATATTACCATTATCCACTTAGAAAAGATAATGATGTCTTGAGTTCATCAAATATTAAGTTTGGACAATCTTTTGAGCTAAAATTATGTGTATATTAGATTAATAGTAATAAAGACAAAGTTTTAACTCTCCTTTTTTTCCTTGAGCCTGGATTTTTTGGGGGGTGTTGGGTGGGAGGTGATTTGAACCCAAGGGCAGTTAACCACTGAGCCATATTTGTAGACCATTTTGTTTTTATTTAGAGTTAGCATTTCGCTAAATTGCTCACAGCCTCACTATGTGCTGAGGCTGGTTTCGAAAGTGCTCTCCTCTTGCCTCAGCCTCCTGAGCTGCTTGGATTACAAGAATATGTCACCACGCCCAGCATAAGGACTGACTTTTTATAAACTCATATTTTGTAAGCCTTTTGTAAATATTCTGCAGGTTTAAAAACTTTTAAGTAATTCCTATGCCTATTGATAAAAATCTAATATTACTCATCTTAAATGGAAGACTATACTGACAAATAATTAAAATTTGAAGTATAATTTTTCATTTTGGAATCTCAGTGTGTTGCCCTTCTCTCCCAAACATCTCTTATGTTATTTTTTTTTTAAAAAAATCCTTTTGTGCTGCTCAGTATAGATACTGTAAATTCATGTTAGTTTTACTTTGTATTTGACGAGTATAAATAATTAAAAATCCACATTTTCACTCTTGGAGCTTTATATTCATTGCCATCAAAAATGTCAACTATTTTGTGGTCTTTTATTTTTTTGAACTGTATTAGTTACAGAACTATACAAACTAGTTGAATGTATTCATGAAGTTTAATAGGAAAATCTTTGGGCTTCTTTTGAGTTCAAGAAATGCTGCTTTTGTATATTTTAGTTTTTATTTGATCTTCTTATGAGGTTTCCTTTATTTTTCACAAAACTCTATTATTACTGGCTGAGTGACTTGCTCTTTTATTCCAAATATCCTGTTGAAGTCAGTGATTGATGTTTGTATATTGTAAAACGTTAATTATCAGAAATTGAACCCAGGCCCACTGGACCAGTGAGCCACATCCCCAGCCCATTTTTGTATTTTATTTAGAGACAGGGTCTCACTAAGTTTCTTATGGCTTCGCAAGTTGCTGAGGCTGGCTTTGAAACTCAGGATCCTCTTGCCTCAGCCTCCGAAGCTGCTGGGATTACAGGTGTGCATCACTATGCCTGGCCAAAATTTACCATTTATTTTTTTTCCTTGAATGTTTGTGCTGCTGGGATTACAGGTGTGCACCACTGTACCTGCCAAAACTTACCATTTATTTATTTATTTTTCCTGAATATTTATTTGTACTGTCTGTTTTTCTGAGTTACCTGTAGTGGAACTTTTGAATAAGCAGTTGTTTTTATTGGAAACATTTAAAAATGCTATTTTTCTAAAATCTGACAATTTTCTTTTTCCGAGTATGTTGAACAACATTTTGCAGAGAAGGGGGAAGATATGAATTTATCATTTAAAATTTTAAGTACTATGTTGAAATTAGGGGAAGGGTTGGCTTCATATAAGACTGTGGCTACCACATGAAATGGCTTCATTACAGTTGTGCTTTTTGAGTTCTGTGTCCTCATGCTTGTGTTTGGGGGAGTTCTTTCATGATAACATGATATCAACTTCCCTTTTGTTCTTGTTTCTTTTACCTGATCTATCTATCTATCTATCTATCTATCTATCTATCTATCTATCTATCTATCTATCTATCTATCTATCTTGGTGGTATTGGGGATTACACCAGCTCTTGGATCACATATTCTAGGCAAATACTCTACCACTGAGCTACATCCCCAGGTCTTTGTATTTTATTTTGAGACAGGTTCTCACCAAGTTTCCCAAGCTGGCTTTAACCTCCTGAGTAACTGGGATTATAGGTGTGCCATTATACTGGGCTCTTGACCTGATATTTTATGGCTTCGGAAACCAGATAATTATATTGTTTGAATGCTTAATCTTTTCTTCCTGGTTAGGCATTTTTTTCTTGTTGATTTCCATATTTTACATGTGATTTGTCTCCTAAGCAGCTTCTTGGGTAAATGTAGTATTGTTGTAACTATTTGATTAACTTTATTTTCATTGGAAAAATATTTAAGCACAATACATATATTGAACATTAAGATATTGCAGTGTTTATTTTCTGTTTATGAATTAAGGCATTTTAAAATCCTCATGAAATCCTGTGTATGCTTTTCCCTCTTAAAGTTTATTCTCCAGATATGCCTTCACGGCTTCCAATCCAAGACATATTTGCTGGACTGGTTACAAGTATTGGCACTGCAATACGATATTGGTTTCATTATACACTTGTGGCCTTTGCATGGTTGGGAGTTGTTCCTCTTACAGCATGTGAGTATTCCTGCCTATGTCAAAGTTACTTAAACATTGTATAACTACTTTAGAAATGTTGCCCCAGGCTATTGTTTGAATAACATTTAATTAGTTGGTATTTAATGTCATATTGATTAGGAAGTCTTGTTTAGGAAATATTCATCTGAACTCAGCATGAGTTTGATTTTCATTTGGTGCTGGGGATTGAACCCAGGACCTTATCTCAGCTAAACGTGTTCTAGCATTGAGATACAACTGAGAATGAATTTTTAAACAGGTCTGTTTCTTAAATGAATGTGAGAAAGAAGAATACAGTATACAGAGGTTAATGATGAAAGTTCATGAAAGAATTTAGAAAGTAAAAATGAAACCATAATTAGAAGAAACTCAAATTTTATTCCTTGACTTATACAGGAGCTTTTAAGGTCTTTAGTAGGTGGATTCTTTTGGGGTCTCCCCACCTCCTTTTAAAGATAGAAGATCTAATGGTCCTGAGTAATTGGGAAGCTTATCTTTCAGATATAAGAAGCTCTCTGGATCTTGTATACTAACCAATCCTCTTAGGTGATTATTGTTGTTCTTCTTTTCCTTAAAGACATGGAAAATAGTATATGAATGGCAGAATATATAGATATGATTTCTTGGAATTAAAAATAAGCAAGATTTTTAAACAAGTATGTAATTAATATTCTTATGTCTGCTAAAATAAAATTAACATGATTACCTGTGGAAATGAAAATATTGAAAGATGTACCAAATAGCAGAATAGGTTTGTTGAATAGTGGATTAGTGAGACAGAAGACTTAGTCAAGGAGTTCTCCTAGGTTGCAATTAAAGAGACAAATGTTCCAGGTATGAGAAAAACATATTGAGAGATGAAGGCTAGATCTAGTTGTTTCAACAACTGCTAATAAATAGTTCTATTAAGGCAAAAGAGATAATGGAGGTGAAAAAATGGTATCTTTTTTTTTTTTTGCAAGAAAATGACAATAAATGTAAATGGAAAAAGTCTCATATTCCTGAAAAATCCCAAATTTTCTAGAGCTAGGGAATATGGTAAAGGTATAGCAATGATATGCTTCCACTTCTGGATTGTCCTACAAAGTAGAGAAAATCAGACTGCCATCAGACTTAAAATCAGCAATGTGTAATGCTAAAGGAAAGTCCACTTAAAAACTTAAAATTTGGCAATATTTTTGAACTTAAAATTTCTCACCTGAAAAGACAACATAGAGAAACATTTCATTAGATGTGAGGGTTTGGAAAGTTTACCGTTTAAAACTTTTTAATGAAAAAAAAAGTTTTAGAATATACTTTAAATGAGCAAGGAATCAGAAAGATGTGAGACTCAAACGGGTGGGCTGGGGCTGTAGCTCAGTGGTAAAGTGCTTGCCTCACATGTGTGAGACACTGGATTTAATCCTTAGCACCACATAAAAATAGAGATATTGCGTGTTTATCTACAACTAAAAAATTAAAATAAAAAAGAAGTGTTTCTTATAATTAAGCTCATTTATTGCTAATCTGTGATAATTAATAGTTCTTAATAGCTTGGTACTAAAATTCCAGGTAACCTTAACATGGAAGCAGTTGTAGGGAGAGCTTTTTAAAGTTGCTTGACTTATTTGTGAGATTATAAATTCTCTACAGATAGATAGAAAGATAATGAATAACTGTGAATTAAGATGTAGGGGTATTCTGGGTGTGATGGTGCACATCTGTGATCCCAGAGGCTCAGGATGCTCTGGCAGAAGAATTACAAATTCAAGGCTAGCCTCAGCAACTTAGTGAGACTCTGTCTTAAAATAAAAAAAAAATTATAAGGGCTGAGGATGTGACTCAGTGGTTATGCACCTTTTGATTCACTACACAGTACCTAAATGTGAGAGTAACCAAACAATCCGTAACTAGACCCACACCTACACTGTGTCCTGATTAACCACAAAACATCCCAGTTCAGTGAGGGAAAGATGATTTTTTCAGTAAACGGGATAGCATCAACCAGATCGCTATATGGGAAACACGAAACGTATCATTACCTCAGTATGGCACAAAAATTAATTTGAGATCAATTAAAAGGCTGAGTTTGAATGTTAAAAAACAAAAAAATCTTAGAAAATGTAGACTACCCATAAAAGAAAATATTGATAAAGTCAATTTAGAATTAAGAACTTCATCTTCAGATGCCTTTAAGAGTAAAAAAGAAGCTACAGAGTAAGCGAAGATATTTGCAATACATATATTCAACAGAGGACTTATATTATGAGTATATATAAAGAGTCGTAAATACACTAGAAAGAAAAAGGCTAGATAACCCAATTAAAAAGCTGAACAAGTGTTTCTGGAAAGAAGATATGTAAGTAGACAGTAAACACATGAAAAAGTGCTCACCATCATTAGTCATCAGGGAAATGCTCAAGAAGATAGTCACTAGAAAAGCTAAAATTCAAGTGATTGACAGTCTTAAGTTGCTGCTTAGGAAGGTGGGACAACTGACATATGTGTACATTGATGGGGGCAGTGTATACGTTATAACTGCTTTGGAAAACTGACAGTACCTACTAATGTTGGCTATTACAAATACCTTATGATGTAGTAGTTTCATTCCTGGAACTATAGATAATAGAAAAAATAAGAGCCTTGTGTCCACTAAAGAATATACAAATAAATACTAGTACAACAGCTTTGCTAATAAATTGGTACCAGTCAAATCCTTTGAAAGGTAGAAATACATTGTGATATATCCATACACAGAATATTACAAAGCAGTGTAAAAGAGCTAACTGTTGTGACCTGGAATAACATGAATGGATTTTGCTTCTTTGAGAAAAAGAAGCCTGACACACTAAAGAGTATGGATTATATGATTGATGTACATGAAATTTTAAAAAAGGTCAATTTCATATATGGTGATAAAAATCAGAATAGTATTACCTTTTGCAGGTACTGTTGACTGGAAAAGGGCTTAAGGGAACCTTCTGGGGAGCTAGAAATGTTGAACACCTTGCTTTGGATGGTATTTACCTGGATACATACATATGTAAGAATTCACACAGCTGTTCACTTAAGATTTATGTAAAAATGTGTATCAGTTAAAAAGTAGCAAAACTTTATAGAGTAACTGTTATAAGAATAGAAACAGGATTATCAGTTAGGGAAACAGCAAATGAAAATTGGATAGATCAGCCAAAGGTAGGAAAGAAAGGAAGAGAAAAACAGAAAGGGAAGTAGAAGAATAACAGATAAATTTAAATATATCTGTAATTATAAGGGTTTACACTTTTTTTTAATAAAAATGTCAGTTTGTGTGCATATTATACTGCTCTACAAGAAAGAAATATAAGATTAAAGAGGTAGAAAAATAATTTTGTTAACAAATACTAATGAATAGCAGGAACCATGTTAGCTGGCCAGATATTATTCAAGATTAAAAGTATAATATCATTAAGTGGGACAAAGCATCATATTTTATATTAATAAAAGATGTAGTCCACTAACAAAATAAAATTAAAGAACTTTTAAATACTAGAAAACAGAACTGTGATATATGTAAAGCATTTATAGTCAAGATGGAAGACCAACATACCTCTCTGAAATCTGTAGATCAAAGAGTAAGAACAAATAAGTCCTTAGAGGATTCTGGTAACATTTAACATGTTTGATTTCTATCTAACTTGTTTATATACACACTATGTAAAATTTAAATTACATCACACAGTACTTACTCTATAACTTTTAGTGATGTACCTTGGCTCTCTTTCCATGTAGTACAAGATCTGCTGCTTTATGGTTTTTCTTTTTGTTTGTTTGTTTTGGTACTGGGGATTTAACCCAGGGACGCTTTACCACTGAGCTACATTCCTAGCCCTATGTATTTTTTATTTTGAGACAGGGTCTCACTAAGTTGCTTAGGGCCTCCCTAAGTTGCTGAGGCTGTTCTTGAATTTTCGATCCTCCTGTCTCGCTACCTTATGTTTTTAAGGGATCCACAGCACTCTGTAGTAAAGAATTCTGTTATATATGAATTCATTTTCCTTTCTATTGACATTTAGTGTGTTGTCAGTTTTACTTTGTTACAAGCATATCTGCTTTGGATATCTTATATACATATTAAGTAATTCCTACAATAGAAACTCATTCTAACCTTCCATTTTGACTTGTTTTTCTTTTTAATATTTATTTTTTAGGTTTAGGTGGACACACTATCTTTATTTTACATTTATGTGGTGCTGAGGATCTAACCCAGTGCTTTGTGCATGCTAGGCGAGCATTCTACCACCGAGCCACGACCCCAGCCCTTGACTTGTTTTTTAAAAGTCACCATTGATGTCACTAAAAATTTCTTGTGTAGGGTTCGGGGGGGGGGGCGACAAAAACAAAAAGACTCTAGGGAATTTTTAAACTAATATGCAAGTACTAGTTTGAAAGATAATCTCAGCATTTTCCTTAAGCCCATTTCCAAAGATGTAGTCACTCATTATGTCCAACATTCTACCTTTCTGAATAAAGACATTCTTTCTTTTCTAAGAGGATAAAGGGATGATAAAGCATTCACTCAGACTTCATCTTTTCCCTTCAGGGGCTGGATTTAGTACATTCTTTATTTAAGGACACATGAATCTGTGCTTTTAAAAATTTGGCTGCCGGTTTGCTGTTTGTAGCATTGGAGCATGTATTGTAGTAGTGAAGAATCTTCTTAATTTCAAAGATGTGTAATTCTAAAGCTGAAATATTTTATTCTTATGAATATACTTAATACATTTTGGAATTCTAGATTTTAAAAAATTCTCCACATTATAACTTTAAAAACATTTATTTTTAATTTTTTAGTTGTAGATGGACACAATACCTTTATTTTATTTATTTTTATGTGGTGCTGAGGATCAACCCTAGTGCCTCACGTATGCCTCAGCTCTACTACTGAGCTACATACAGCCTTAGCCCTCCATATTATAATTTTAAAGATCTTTAATTTAGACTCCCCTCCTTTTCAAGCATCTAAGTTCATTCAATAAAGACAGTTTAGAGAAAATCTAAACACTGAAAAATATTGTATAGCATTTATTTTTTTAAAATATTTTATTTATTTGTACATGGACCTTTGTTTTATTTATATGTGGTGCTGAGAATGGAACCCAGTGCCTTACACAGGTGAGGCAAGCTCTGCCATTGAGCCACGATCCCAGCCCATAACATATTCTTTAGTCACTATTTTTATGTTTGCATCACCATCTTTTTTTAAAAAAATGTAGGATTTTGAGACTCACACAAAACTTGTTTCAGTGCCTTTCACAGTGTTCCATTGTAACTCTTGATCTACTGTGATGAGTTTGTGATGCCGGTTGTGACTGTATGCCATCATGCCCTTTTTTGTAGGCCGCATCTACAAGTGCTTGTTTACTGGCTCCGTGAGCTCACTACTGACACTGCCGCTAGACATGCTCTCAACGTGAGTATTAAATCCGCATGACAATGAAAGTTGTGCAAAATAACTTGTACTGTTTTTTTTTCTTAATTTTTATTAGTAATTTGAAAATAATTTTTTTGAAAGTAATTTATTCTTTTGTTCCAAGACAGTTATTCATGCTTCTAACTGTGGAAGTAGCTAAAATATATAAATGATTCTTTTAAAACATAACCCCTTTTATATTTTAATGGCAAGATGATTTCTTCATTAGGCTCTCACACAGTTTGAGGTATTTACTATTTTTATAGGTTGAGAATAATTTAAATATGTTCTTGAGATTATTAGAATGTACATGCTAAAAACTTGTCACTATGGCTGACTCATTGTATCATAATTTGGTATTAAGCATTGTTGCTTGCCTTATGTTGGCAGGCTCCATATTTTCCCTGTCCTGATAGGCTTGTGTGCATCTCAGTGCACCTTTGTTACACCACTGAATGCTAGAGGCCTGGTGGGGATGGACAAAAGAAATTGTTATCACAGCTTTTTTTCTGTACCCCTGAATAGTGCTTTTTTTTCCTTCTTTCCCTTATAGAGTATAGAGTAGATCTATTTTTCCTGAAAATTTACTTTAAATTTCCATTATATCTTAGTGGTTGCTGTGTATTCCATAGCTCAGTTCTTGGGGTCATCTCAAGGCATACCATTTCAGTTTTCTTTTACGGAAGAACAAACTCTCTGAAACTTGGTGGTTTCAAAGAACTACCATTTTATTTGCTCAGAGGTCTCAGAAATTGGGTTTGGCTCAGTCAAGTTTATCTGTGGAGCTTGCCTGAGCTGTTCATGTATTTTATTGGGGCTTGATTATCTAAGATGGTCCTGGCTGAGATGACTTGGTTCTCCTTTACATGACTTCTCATCTTCCAGAAGGCTGGTTGGGGGAAGTCTTTACACAGTGGGCTCAGGACAGCATTAAAAGGGTGAATGAAAGTAGACTCCCAAGCCGCCTTGTTGGTTCTGGAACTTGGAAACATCCAGGCAATAAACAAAACCAGTCTAGATGTGTTAGTTATCATTTAAAACCTGCAGGAGCCATTCATATTCTCATTGCTGATGGCAAAGAAGAAGTTGAAGATATTTTGGTCTCAATACATTAGAATTTTAATGGTCTAGAAAGTTTCTTAGCAATAAAGTGATTAAGATTCCCCCTTTTGATTTATGAGCTATTGCAGACAATAACCCTTAGGAGACACACCAGTGCAATTATAGTTTGGAGCTACTAGGTCATGCTCCCAGGTTGATCCTTGTTCAGATTTTCAATGGAGGAAAAAGTAATTTATTCCATTAAAATAGTGGATTTTCTAAAGACTGCCAAGATAATTTTGAGTTATCTTTATTTTGAAATTATGGGTGTGGGTAAGGAAGGATAAGCTCTTCAGAGAGGAGAACCAAGGAACCAGAACCAAGGGATCTTCAGTATTATATAGCATTTCGTGTATTTTTATATATTAAACTAAAAATACTTTGCCTATTTGGACTTATTGAGGAGCAAATATACTTTGTTATTTGCAGGTAGTATCAAATCTTGATTTGTTTTCTAAGTGAAAATTTTCTATAAAGTGTATCATAGACTTCTTTGTCTTATACATGACATATAGGAAACCTGTCTGGAGAAGCTTCATTCTTTTTCTGATTTGATGATTCTATTAGTTTGTATGGACTTAGGTAAATGCTAGGTTTTTGAAGTTGTAAGTAAAAGAAGAACAAGGAAATTCTTTGTAAGGGTTTGAGAAGGTTGTTCACTTTTGGTAAGTTCAGTGCTTAACCTTTGTCAAGTGTTTGCTGTTTACTTTCTGTCTTCTGTTTCTTGACCAAGTTAAAGGATAGGCTGTGGATAGTTAATTGCTGTGTAGTTCTGATGTTATGTCTACTATAATACAAAAGTAGATACAATATAAGTTTATATTAGCTTTTAAAATAGGTTGAATTTCACCATCATTTTAAATAATTCTTTTGGAGAAACTGCTTTTCAACCCTAGAGTTAGATTTTTCTGACTGTTTTTACAAGTATTCTTTGGAGTAATTATATATAATTTTTTTTAAATAGGGAAAATTTGTTGGCGGATTGTTTGCAGGGTTGTTTTGTGGTGACGTGCACATTGTGTGCGTTCATCAGCCTGGTGTGGTTGCGAGAGCAGATAGTCCACGGGGGAGCCCCGATTTGGTTGGAACATGCTGCTCCGCCCTTCAATGCTGCTGGACACCACCAAAATGAGGTAACCTCCCATCCCTGAACTTGACTTCACTTGAGTAGGACATGAAAATTATGGTTGCCCATAAGATTCAAACCTTTGACTCTCATGTGCCTCATAAACGTTCTTTTGCCATTTCAAAGGAGTACATCAGAAAGGTTTGGAAGAAGATTAAGAGAAATAAGAAAAACCGACAGAATGCTTTCATGATTTTTGCCTCCTAATTTTCTTGCTAGATTGGCCAAAAAAAAAAAAAAGGATGTCACACTAAATGTTCTTCCTCTTTTTATCTTTCTTTTTTTTAAAACCAGGGATTGAATCCAGGGGCGCTTAAACACTGAGATACATCCCCAGCCCTTTTTTGTTTTATTTTGAGATAGCCTTGGCTGTGTTACTTACGGCCTTGCTAAGTGGCTGAGTCTGGCTTTGATCTTGGGATCCTCCTGCCTCAGCCTCCAGAGCTGCTGGGCTAACAGACATGCACCACTGTACCTGGCTGTTTTTCCAATTTTTTTCCTTCGGTTAATTGTTCAACTCACGCCTAGAAGTTAAGATACGACTTACTGGATATGTTTCTTACATGCTGTGTAACATTAAGGAGGCCTCCCCACTTCTTCGCTTGTATATTCTTCATATGAAAAAATGCCTTGCCTTTCCTGTCTTGTAGAAACATTATCAGGGCTGGGGATGTGGCTCAAGCGGTAGCGCGCTCACCTGGCATGCGTGCGGCCAGGGTTCGATCCTCAGCACCACATACCAACAAAGATGTTGTGTCCGCCAAGAACTAAAAAATAAATATTAAAAATTAAAAAAAAAGAAACATTATCAAAAGTAGAAAAATTGGAATATTATTGATAATCTAGTGCAGTTATATTTTTTTCTTTATGGGTTATGACATGCTTAGATACAAGAGTGTTTGTTAGTGGTATTAAGAAGAGGGTAAAGCCAAGTTCATTGGCATGCACCTATAGTTCTAACTGCTCAGGAGGCAGAGGTAGGCGGATTTTCTGTTTGAGGCCACTGTGGACAGCATAGACTCTTATCTTTTTTTTTTTTTTTTTTTTAAAGAAAGATGTAGAAAATAATTTTAGTGTCTTGCTGAGAAATTATGGGTCTGAAAATGTTATATAGATTAGCTGTTTGCTTGGAAAGGGAATAATTTATACTTTATAAAATTTTATTATGAAAAAGAGCTATATAGTAAATTAATAGCTTAATGTTTGCTTTTAGGACCTGTTTTTTTCAGTGTGTAGATTGATTTCATGAAAGTCTACCGTTTCGTTTTTCTTTATAAAGTGTAATTTTGAAAAGCATAACAGAAAATAAGACTATAAACTGGCGTTGTTCTTACGTAAGATTAACACGTTTATATTGGACCTCTTTAAAAAAAATTTTTTTTTTTTTGTGGCTGTAGATGAACAGAATGGCTTTTATTTGTTTTTATGTGGTGCTAAAGATTGAACCCAGTGCCTCACACATGCTAGGCAAGCTCTCTGCTACTGAGCTACAACCCCAGCCCTGTACCTTACATATTGAAGCATTTTATACTGCTTTGTTTTAGGATCTTCATTAAATCATGGGAGTTGTGGGGGTTTTCTTGTTTGTTTTGTTTTTTTTGCACTACTGAAGACTGAACCCAGTGCCTCACATACGCTAGGCAAGTATTCCAGTGCTGAGTTAAATCTTCAAATTGCCTCAGCTTCCTGAGTAGCTAGAAATATAGTTGTGCATTACCACACCTGGCTGGGAGTTGTATTTTAACTTAACTGTCATTAGCTACAGTTATATCTTCACATTTGATAAGTACCAGAACTTAAAGAGTCAGAGAAGGATGTATTTAGTAAAAATTCCATATGTGCATTCTTACCCTTACTGACTGAGAAGAAATTAGAAACCATTTCCTTTAGTTTTTAAAGTGAAAATGGAATTAAGTTTTACATATGTATATGTGTAAATTTTTAAAAAGGTGTTTTTGTCTCTGAGATAGTAAAAACAGGAGATAGATGTCTTATAAAAAAGAATTACAGAATGTGTTCGAGATACCCGGATTTGTAAACTTACTTTCTATAATGCTTTGTGAAATGTTAATCCTTAAGTTAAACTTAAGTGAATATGTGTACTGTAAAGTGAGTTTGTTTTAAATATATATACCAAGTTGATCCCAAATCAGATACATTTCGAAAAGATGACTCTGAAGGAAAAAAAATTAAAGATGACTCTGAAGGTTTTTATTTTTTAATATTAGTAGGATTTGTGTTTGCTAATTTTGTTATTTTAAGGGAGAACACAATTTGGGAATGAAGCCAACTGATGAGTTAGCTAAACTTCTGGGCTCTTCTGTCATTTTAGGCTCCAGCAGGAGGAAATGGTGCAGAAAATGTTGCTCCTGAGCAACCTGCTAACCCACCAGCTGAGAATGCAGTGGTGGGAGAAAATCCCGATGCACAGGATGATCAGGCGGAAGAGGAAGAGGAAGACAACGAGGAGGAAGATGATGCAGGCGTGGAAGATGCAGCGGATGCTAATAATGGAGCCCAGGGTAATGGTGCTTTTGCGCCCTTACTCTTTCTTCAAGACCATATATCCATTGGGTTGAAGAGAAAAGGACTAGAGTTTTCAAATTTTAATATCATAAAGTTCTATTTCTAACCTATTTTTACTCTGACAGACCGTCATTTATGGCTACGCATATGCAAAAATATGTTATTTTTCCTATGCAGTACGGAACATTTTGTGTTTTATATACTTATACAGGCTTTTTTTTTTTTTTTTAAAGAATATGATACATGTTTACCTCATTTCTCTTTTTATTTCCATTGATTTAGTACAGCTTGTAAAATTGGAAAAGATCTTGAAGTTTATGTTGCAGGCCAGGTGCCATCATTTTTACCTATTTTTAATTTTCTAGCAGATTAAATTCTGGAATGTAAAAAGTAAGATCCAAGACTGGATCTGCCAATCATCTGTTAGTGGCTCACTGTCTCTTCTCTCTTCTGCTGCAGAGTTTTTCTGTTAAGCACTTTATTGTCTCTGGATCCACTTGACATGGTGGATATTTGAGTGTTTTTGTGTGACAGACACTCTTTGAGATACCACCTACATAGTTGTGAACAGAACATTAGGTCACTGTCCTCAGGCAGTTTCTGATTTAGGGAAGAGGTACACATTGGGATAAGTGTCATGCAGGTTGCTATATTATCTAAGGTTTCCTTGGAAATTCAGAGTAAATTACTTTTGACCTAAGATCTGAAGAGTGAGAAGAAGCAGGTTGTATAGTGGCAACAGTGGGCCTTTGCAGGGAAAGATCAGAGGCTCTGAGAATACAATCTTTTCTTACTACCTAGTACCTTGTCATCATCTCTCTTGGTCTGCTGCATTAACTGCTAAGTAGTCTTCCTCTTTGCATGTGTGCACCACATGGTTCCTATTACTCTCCTGCCTATTTCAGTGCTTTTTCCACTGTACTAAAGAATAAAATGAAATCCAGATTCTACATTTCTTTTATGTGATCCCTGTCCACTTTTCATACTTATATCTTCCACTACTCTGTTCATCACTGAGAAAGTTAGAATCCTCTGGCTTCCTTCCTTTCCTTAGATCTACCATATTTATTCCTGATTCAGAGTTGCTGAAGTCCTCTTTTTCACATAACTCTATTTCTTTTCTAGCACTTATCACAGTCTAGTATCACCTTATCTTATATGTACTGCTTACTTTAAGGTATGTATTTTTAGGTAGCATTTACTGTGTAACAAGCAAATAGTGTGGAAAAATTTTAAATGTTATTTAGCTTCTCAATATGATCTTATACCTAAAAGAATGCATTTTATTATTTATAGTTCAATTTCCACCCCTAATCTTTAATCTGCAATTATGTTTCCAGATGACATGAACTGGAATGCTTTAGAATGGGACCGAGCTGCAGAAGAACTCACATGGGAAAGAGTAAGATAAGATCTCTTCCTGTCACAATTCTGACATTTAATCCTAAAGTATATTTTAAAATTGGGCATATTTAGATGTATGCACTAATTTTGTAGAAAATAATTACCAGATTTTTTTTTTTTTGTATAGAACATTGTACTATTTGTGGTAAAAATATAGAAACTGATGATTTTCTATTTTTTGGTCTTTATTATAAAGCTTGCTTCATAGTTTCACCTGAAAGTATGACTTAAAAAAATCTTTTTTTTTTTTAGTTGTATATAAACACAATACCTTTATTTATTTTTATGTGGTACTGAGAATTGAACCCACTGCCTCACACTGGCTAGGCAAGCGCTATACCACTGAACCATAACCCCATCCTGAAAGTGTGAACTTTTGAAAAACTAAGAAGCAACTTAAATTTAAGTAGTAAATTTAAATTTTCACACTTCATTTGACAAAATAATGTATTTTTATCATGAAGTCTTGACTGGCTTTCTGTCCAATGGAAGAATTAAACTCATGGTGGAATTTTTTTAGATATTATATGCAAATGACTGGAAATAAAAGGACACCCAAAATATAAAACTTAAAATGATAGGCTGTGTTGGAAAGTAGTGGATGAAGGCTATATTTAAAGATACTAAAAGAAAACCTATTTTATAAGAGTAGAAATCTTGTTGCATCTTGAACTAATGCACACTATTATTATGTATTTTAGATGCTAGGACTTGATGGATCACTAGTTTTTCTGGTAAGTAAAACTATATTTAATAAAAGAACGGTGAATTACTTGTCTTAGTGATTCAATAACTTCAGATATATAGTATGTGCTCCTTTTTTATACTAAAGGTCAATATGCCCTTTGGTTTTTGATTACTTCATGTTTGAAGACTATATTATATATATGTGTGTGTGTGTGTGTGTGTGTGTGTGTGTGTGTGTGTGTATTAAATTTTTTTAGTTGTCAGTGGACCTTTATTTTATTTATTAATATGCGGTGCTGAGAATTGAACCCAGTTTTCACGCATGCTCTACCGCTAAGCCACAATCGCAGCCCCTAAAGACTATATTTTATGTGTTAAATATTGGAGAGGCATAAAGGTATTATTATTTATAAAGGAAGTTATTTAATATTTGACTTTTAAAGAACTTATTTTTTAGTTGTAGTTTGATAAAGTATCTTTATTTTATTTACTTATTTTTATGTGATACTGAGGATCAAACCCAGGGCCTTGCACAAAAGCTAGGCGAGCGCTCTACTGCTGAGCCACAATCCCAGCCTAATATTTGATTTTGTTTAAAAAAGAAAATGGAGTCTAAAATTAATGGTGTTAATAGAATTTGAACTCTTGGGCTGGGATTGTGGCCAAACAAACTTGAATTCTTCTAAAAGTTCAGTCTTGTACTTAATGCCTATACCAGTGAAAGCGAAACAACTTTATATTCTTTTACAGTAAGAACCATAGTCTGACCTTAGGTTTCTACTGTTTACTCACCCCCACCCGTCTTTACCTAGGAACTGACTAAAGGGTGGGTGATGTGGCTGGATGAATAGATGGATCAGCAGTCATTGTGGACGTGATCATATGGCCATGAGAGAATATGTCTCTGAGATATGAACAAAGAAAGCCAGGGCATCAGGAGGAGAGGAGGGACAAGAGCAGGTCATGCTAGTGTTTTTCCAAGGGGAGGGAGCCGAACAACAGTGACCTTGCTGAAGTTATGAAAACAGAACGGACACTGAAAGAAGCGCTCTGTAGTTTACATTAGCACATTGTTTTGAATATGATTTTCAGATTTTGCTCCACTTGAAATTTTTCAGGTTTTGTCTAAATCTCAGTTTTTGTGAAAATCTATGGTTTATAAATTGATTTGTTCTTTTTTTATGTGTAAAACTATGAACTTTGAATTTTACTAGTCTTAGTTTTATGAGCTATCAGAAAAATGAAAAGTTGTACGGTTTCTAGATGGAAATCTCAAAATTATGGAGCAAAATTTCAGTCTTAGTTATTTTCAGTATTTGATAGCTGATTAATGGAGTAGTTCAGTCAAATATGTCATACTAAACATGAACTCACTGTGCTTTGTTAACATTCTTTTTAGGAACACGTCTTCTGGGTTGTGTCTTTAAATACACTGTTCATTCTTGTTTTTGGTAAGTTGTGTTTATGCTTTTACTTTTTATGATCTAATGGGAGGAGTTTGGCTTTCTAGGTGTCTTTTTACAGGTTTTCATTTCATTAGTAATTTTGGAATATTAAGGAATACACAGTGCAGGTTTAGCGGCCAGATCCCTAGTAGGTTCGCTCTTTTTTCTTAATGATTGAGGCATCCCCTTTTTTAAGAATTTACCATGCTGCTTATTTTTGTTATAAAGAAAAGATAATTAAATTTTAGAAGAGCAAAGTAAAATTTGGCAAAAAGGGTTTGAAAAAGAACATAAAAGTTTATACCATGATCATTTTAAGGATTTTTTTTAACTATAGTGCCATTTCACATTTTTCAAAATTATTATTATTCATTTAATATTTCCTAATCATTTTTAAAATTCACAAGTTCCCTTAAATGTATTATTATTATTGTTATTATTATTATTATTTGGTATCGGAGATTGAACTCATAAATTCACTAATTCACTCAACCACTGAGCCACACCTGCAGCCTTATTTTGTATTTTATTTAGAGACAGGGTCCACTGAATTGCTTAGTGCCTTGCCATTGCTGAGACTTGCTTTGAACTCACGATCCTCTTATCTCAGCTTCCTGAGCTGCTGGGATTACAGGCGTGCACCACCACTCCTGGCTTTAATGCCATATTATAACTGATTTGTTTGAAGATCCAAATATGGTTCACACATTACTTTTAAGACTTAAATTCCTTTTAATCAAGAGTATGCTTCTCTTTGCCCCAACTCACCCTATCCCATTTGCCATTGTTTTGTTGATAAGATTAGGTTAGCTGTACTTTACATTTACAGTGACATATTCTGTATGATATATTCACATAATCACATGCAACTGCTTCCTGGATGTCCTCTTCCCTCATCCTTTGACTCACATGTTTTCCATAACTTGGAAGTCAGATTTAAAGGCAAGATTAGATATCAGGATTAGTGAATTTATGACAGTTTCTTCACTGGTCACATTAATACTTTGTTTGAGGAGATACATAGTGTTTATTTTTCCATTTTTATTAGTGGATTCAGGAGATACCAACCTAAACTACCCCCCCCCTCCCCGTTTTTGGTACAGGATTGAACCCAGAGCCACTTAACCACTGAGCCACCCACCCACAGCCCTTTTTTATATTTTATTTTGAGGCAGGGTCTTGCTAAGTTGATGATGTTGGCTTTGAACTCATTAACTTTTTGCCTCAGCCTCCTGAGCTGCTGGGATTATAGGCATGTGCTACGTGCACTGCTGAACCTCTATTCTGAAATCCCAGTTTTCTCTTTACCTGATAAGATTATGTGTGAGATGACATTTTAGTATCATTATGAAAGTAGAAGGTTTCATCTTCCTTTTAACTAATGATTTTATTAACTCTTAATTCTACCCTTGGTCTTAGACAAAAGGCTGAGAACCAACTCTTGATGATCCTTGCCTGAATCATTTATTAGGTGTTACAAAGTACTGATTTTTCAAATTGTTATTTTTTTTTAAGAGAGAGGTGAGAGAGAGAGAGAGAGAATTTTTAATATTTATTTTATTTGTTTATTTATATTTTTTTTGGCAGACACAACATCTTTTGTTTGTATGTGGTGCTGAGGATCGATCCCGGACGGCACGCATGCCAGGCGAGTGCGCTACCGCTTGAGCCACATTCCCCAGCCCAAATTGTTAGTTTTAAAAAAATTTTATTGGCAGGTTTTTCTATAAAGATTTCATTCTTGCCAGGTGCGGTGGCACACACCTGTCAGCCCAGTGGCTTGGGAGGCTGAGACAGGAGGATCACGAGTTCAAAGCCAGCCTCAGCAATGGTGAGGCACTAACCTAAGACCCTGTGTCTAAATAAAATACAAAATAGGGCTGGTTAGGGCTGGGGATGTGGCTCAAGCGGTAGCGTGCTCGCCTGGCATGTGTGCGGCCCTGGTTCGATCCTCAGCACCACATAAAAACAAAGATGTTGTGTCCGCCGAAAACTAAAAAAAAAAAATAGGGCTGGGGATATGGCTCAGTGGTCAAGTGCCCCTGAGTTCAATCCCTTGGACCCCCACCTCCCGCACCAACAAAAATTTATTCTAATCAACTGGTCCAGTTCTGTATCTTCCATTTCTCAAAGAAGCCCTGGTTTCTTTTAGTGGGGGATTATACTAGGGGTGCTCATTGTTTTGATGTTGTAGTTTTCCTGTTTTATTCCCCTCCTTTTTAGCATTTTGCCCTTACCACAGTTAACATGAACTTTGTTGCTTAGGAGAAGCCAGGTAGATGCTCAGTTTTTTCCCTTTATTTATCAGTTTTCAGACTAAGCAGTATATGCATAACTACTACCTTTGTGTGCTAACTACTTCCAAAAAATTAAAACATTTTCTGTGATGTTGCTGTTTTTTATTTTATGGATGTTATTTTGGGCTTTCCCTATTTTTGAGTGTCATGAACTTCTAGATATGTATGTTTGTGCGTCTATAAATTTTGGTCATTAGTTTTTTTTGTTTTTTGTTCTTAAAGAGATCCATAATACCCTCTTCACGATGATTCTTGTGTCCTTTGACATGGTCTTATTAGACCTTAATAACTTTATATTATTCTTTGGTTATAATGTCCTAGGTGCAATACATTTTTGGTCCAGGTCTGAATCTTCCATTTCTCAAAGAAGCTGGTTCCCTTTAGTGGGGGACTATACTAGGGGTGTTCATTGTTTTGATGTTGTAGTTTTCATATTTTTTTTTCCCCTCCTTTTTAGCATTTTGCCCTTACCACATTGGTCATTTCTCCCTTGTTGGTTTGGGATTTGAAGAACATGTGAGTATAATACTTCTACAAACTTACTTTTGTTAATTACTCCCAAATTTGATATTTTCTGAGTAAGTAATAATTTTCAAAAGAGTTACTTCATGTTTTAGTCTGCCTTCTACAAAGGAATGGCTTGCCAACACAGTCTTATCCATTTCTTTTAAAGCTGTAACAGTGATCAGTAGATGGTAGGATATATGATGCCAGCTAAGATATGCTTTGAAATGCCTGGTCTTTCTGTTGCACAGGCCTAAGGCACTACTGTGGGAGAGTTTTCCACATGCTGACGTTCTAGCCACTTTATGAACTAGAATGTTCCTTTCTCTTCCTAGATGATCCATAGGGAATTTAGAAAATGAATAATATATCAATCAGTTGTTAAAAAAAGGATCCATTTTAGAATGATGGGCTATAGTGTTTTTTGAAGAATCTACTTGAATTTGGACATTTTATCATTATTTTCCAGAGATAGATATTTGAATGGTTTACTGCTCCTTTTGGGGGGACCTCAGAAGGACTTAGTCTTTGAAGAAGAACTGGCTGGGATCTTCTGTTCAATTTTGCATATATGAGATCTGATAGATCACTTTTGGAAGCATTTCAATTTTTAATACAGCTCCCCAGTTCTTACTAGTTGCATATAAGAACTTGAAAGGTTCAGATAAATGTTTTGATAAGTTTTTGTTGCCATTTGCTGTTTAAAACTTGGGAACCAAAAGATATAGATGGGCAGCATTTGTCATTCTCCAAATTCCTATTCCCTGTAAGTCAACAAAACGCATTTAAAGAGCAAGGGAAGCTTAAACAATGTTTCTAATGGTAGAGAATGAGATGGTTAGGATGTTGCCAGGTAGGTGGGTGATAGGCTGCTTGGGCAAAAGAGTGCTGCTTTGGTGTTCAGTCTTTAGCAGATCCACCTGGTAGCCAGCCTAGAGGCAAATTGTTGTATTACAGTGGTCTAATTTTTGTCAAATTTCACTCACTCTGTTATTTTGGCACCTTGGGTAAAATATTATTCTTTAGTTCTTCTTCATCTTTGAGTAATATATAGTAGTCTGGGAAAGTTACCTTGCAAATATATCATCCCAAAGGATTTTACAGTCATTTTCCAGTTATATATTGCCTAGGTGTTTCACTTTTGATCATTTGAATTGCTAATACAGTGATAAAACTGGGGTATAGGCTATGTGATAAAGTTGAATTTTTATTTATCTCTGTTTTATTTCCAGGTCCAAGCATCTCATTTTGAAGGCCTAATCACAACCATAGTTGGGTATATACTTTTAGCAATAACACTGATAATTTGTCATGTATCCTTTAATGAATCAAATTGAGTGGGCAGTATAAAGAGTTGTTTTTATTAGTAATAGAACTGTTTTCCTTCCCCTTGTCATCTTAGTAAAAGTTGTAATATTTGTAGTAAGAGTAAGGTGAACAAAATGTGAAATGATATTTGTCAGAAAATATTGAATATAATCTAAGTAGTTTCCTGTTTTATTGTACCCTTCAGTATTCAGTTTTTCCTTGACTAAATGCTTCAGGGCTTGGCAACTCTTGTTAAATTTCATAGGTCTCGTCGCTTACTAGGAGTCTGCTATATTGTTGTCAAGGTAATTCCTTTTTGTAAGTTAAAACTGGAAGTAGTTTCTTCTACATTTGGGTGATATGATAACATTTATTTTTTACTTCAAAGGTCTCTTTGTTAGTGGTGGTAGAAATTGGAGTGTTCCCTCTCATTTGTGGCTGGTGGCTGGATATCTGTTCCCTGGTAAGTGGAGTATTCTTTATCATAAAATCTCATAATTTCAAGGTTTCAAAAAAGAAAGTCTTCAAGATAGTTTTCTTTAAAAAAAATTATATATATATTTGGCATTAGGGATTTAACCTAGGGATGCTCTACCACTTCCTAGGCCTATTTATTTTTTATTTTGAGACAGAAGTTATTTAGGGCCTCACTAAATTGCTGAGATTGACTTCAAACTAGTGATCCTCCTGCCTCAGTCTTCTAAGTCACTGGAATTACAGGCATGTGCCACCATGCAGGGCTTAAAATAGATTCCTTTTATAGGAAGTAGAATCTTAATATTGATTGCTCTAAGCTATTTTCAGTGGCTTTTTTTTTTTCTTTTTTTTGAAGCTCTGTATTTTCAGTGTCATGGTATTTTGGTTGGGATGTTCTTAATAGCCAGTGGAGAATTTTATTTATTCCTTTTAAATTTTATGATAATGCCAGTCATTTCTTTTAACTAAGATGCTCAGTCATTATCTCTATTGGCTGTTAGTGGTAATCAGTTTTTTTTAATTTTTCAAAAGAATTTTATTTGTAGAAAAGCTGCTTTTGGTTCTGAGGTAAACATTTATCCCTCTTCATTACTATTAAAAATTCTTGTGAATGCAGACCCATAACCAAGATAGGAAGCCTTACATTAATTAAAAATGGTTCTTTTACAGTTACACCATTAGTAAAACTCTTACCTACTAATTGGTTTGTCATTCTTTTTTTTTTTAATGTTTGGAAGTTTGAAAGTGTATATGCATCTTTTGAAGTAATACCCAGTTGTATATCACGAATATACTGTGAAATGGCATAAAGAGAACTGCAGCAGGGTGCGGTGGCGCACTCCTGTGATCTCAGTGGCTCTAGAAGCTGACGGGATTGTGAGTTCAAAGCCTGCCTGAGCAAGTTAGTGAGGTCCTAAGCAACTCAGTGAGACTATCTCTAAGTAAAATTTAAGAAAGGGCTGGGTATTATGTGGCTCAGTGTTTAAGCACTGCTGGGATCAATTTATGGTACCAACAAAAGAAAAAGAAAAAAGAACTGCAGCTCTAGAACATCATACCTTGTGTATATAGTGATTTATTTACTTATTAGAAGGTAGAGATGTTAATTTGACAAATATAGGTGGTACATATCTCTTTTACCTGTTCTATTTTGACTTAGGAAATGTTTGATGCTACTCTGAAAGATCGAGAACTGAGTTTTCAATCGGCTCCAGGTACTACCATGTTTCTACATTGGCTAGTAGGAATGGTGTATGTGTTCTACTTTGCCTCCTTCATTCTGTTACTGAGAGAGGTAAGTTCTACAGGGAAATGCTGATGCTGTACAACCAGTTATGCCTCAAAGGCTGTGATAATTTCCTAACTAAACTATATTCTCTATTATTTTAGGAGGGAATAACTCATAGGGAATTATTGACTTGATTGCTCTAAGCTATTTTCAGTGGCTTCTGTCAAAAATTGACAGATTAACAATTTTCCAATATGATTATACTGAGGAAAACAAACTTGTTTTACTTTGTAGACATCAGTACCCATCCTCTTAATCTAAAGTCTTTGAGTTGGTGTGATACAAGTCTGTCTCAGATTTCATTCAAGAAAATGTAATACTGGGAAAAACTCCAACAAAAGATTTGTAGAATTGAATATGTAAGTTTTGAAGCAGGCACCTTAAGTATATAGAAATACAGTGAAGGTCCTTTTATGATTCCAATTTATGATTGCAGTTCACTTGCCAGATTGGTCCATCTACTGATCCTAGTTTCAGAATCTGGCCCTTACTGTTTGGAAGAGGAGGAGAGCAGATTAGTATTTATTTTTTAAATGATTTTTTTTAGTTGTAGATACACATAATACCTTTCATTTTATTTTTATGTGGTGCTGAGGATCAAACCCAATGCCTCACACACGTCAAGGCAAGTGCTCTATCACTGAGCTACAACCACAGCCCAGCAGATTAGTATTTAGTTAGTATACATTTCAAGCCAATTGCCAGATTCTGTTCTGTATGCCGAGGTTATAGAAATAAAGACAGGATTCCTGTTCTCTGTTCATAGGATTGGATACAGCTATTCAACAAAGTTAATTTACTGAGAGCAATGAGGGAGATGTGCAGGGCTAGGAGAACAGACCAGAAATACAAAAATTATGAAGTCTGAATGCTGTTCATGGTACACTTTGCTCTTTGAAATATTCGAGGAGGGAAGCAGGTGGGGCTAAATTCTTCTGAATCGTGTAGTGACTCAAACAAGTGATTGAGACTAAAGAAAGTACAGTAATGTTTTTAAAAACAAATTATATGTAAATACTAAATTTCACTGTTAACATGATAAAATTTTTTGGTTTTGTTTTCAATTTATAGTTCATTGAGTCCATGTATGAAAACGTCACAAATATGCAGGCTATGTTAAAATTAAATGGTTTTTGAATCTGAAAAAAAAAATAGAAGTAACATAAACTTTGGATGGCAGCTATCTTTATGATTTTCCTTGATGATTTAGATTGATTCCTGTATCAGATGCTTTTAGTTAATTTATTTCTTCGTCTTTTATTTTCTAAACCAACTTCAGTTTAGGTGTTCAGAACTCAATGCCCAAGACAAACACACCTACTCGAATACTGTTACTTCTCAATAGCCAATCAGTGTGTTGTCATCTATATTTATATAATATACTGAACACAGATGTAGCTATAGTTACATGCTTATCCAAAATATCCTGAGTTACACATCAATTGCAACTATTAATGACCTGAAATATTAATATACATTTAAGTTAGCATACAAATCTAGTTCCAGAGGTACTCATTCATAAACCAGATTTCTAATCCTAACTAAATAATGTCAGCATAATGAATGTGTCTATAGTATGTATATCATACACATTGTATGGCACAATTAGAAAATTAACTTTCTTGGAATAAAAAAATAAATCTGTAACCAGTAACACATCATTATAAAACTAAAACTTTAAACAACTGGGATAAGAATAAAGTTTCATGAAAATATAGACAATAAGTAATGTAGAAACAAGGAAATGTGATTCCCAGCATGGTGGGCCTCAGCATCATGAAACATGGCCCTGTTCCTGGTCTGGCCTGTTCAATAACTCAGAAATCCCTTTGGATAAAATATTTTATAATTAAGTTTTTTATTTTATTAATGTGGACTTTTGTTGGCTAATGTCAGGGAGTTAGAAACTCAAGTATTTTTTTAAAAGTGTATTTTTAGCTGTAGATGAACACAATATCTTTATTTATTTATTTTTATGTGGTGCTGAGGATTGAAGCCAGTGCCTCATATGCTCCAGGCAAACACTCTACCACTGTGCCACAATACCAGCCCGAGATCATATATTGTTACTACCTCAATTGGTAGATGGGAGAAATATAGGCTTAGACAGAATAGATGCTTTACACAGGGTAATTTTTGGAGTTTGAACCCTGAGGGCATAGTACCCAGCTTCATATATTTCCTCAGAGCCTCTTGTGTGATGATTTCCATTCAGAAGGGGAAAAAAAGATAATAAAATGAAGATACTAAGAAGTTATAGGATTTTTTTTCTTTCTTTTTCTTTGGTATTGGGGATTGAACTCAGGGGTGTTTTACCACTTATCAACATCCTTTTTCTTGTTGAGGCTGGCTTTGAATCTGCAATCTTTTTTTTTTTTTTTTTTTTTTTTAAAGAGAGAGAGAGAGAGAGAGAATTTTTTAATATTTATTTTTTAGTTCTCAGCGGACACAACATCTTTGTTGGTATGTGGTGCTAAGGATCGAACCCGGGCTGCACGCATGCCAGGCGAGCGTGCTACCGCTTGAGCCACATCCCCAGCCCAATGAATCTGCAATCTTTACCTTAGCCTCCCAGGTCATTGGGATTATAGGCATGTGTCCCTGTGCCCAACAGAATTTAATTAAGATAACTCCTCTAGGGAACTGTAAAACTGAAATCACATCTACTCTTTGGGACACTAAGTTGTAACATAATCCTTTTCCTAGGTGATAACAAGTTAGTTCTGATTGTGTTTAATTTTCTATTTAAATTTCTTAACAAATTGGATTCTGAATTTTTTTCCCCCTAGTGAAATGATTAAAACCATCACAGGTCGTCAAACCACAGGTCTGTTTTCATAAATATTAAAGTTTAGGAACTTTTTCCCATGAAAATCATATGAATTTTATGGAGCCTATTTTAAATACTGGAATGATTTCAGGAGCGTATTTTTCAGTAATGTTTTAACTCATTATTACAGAACCTATAGACTTTGGAGGTTATTTATAACACTTAAAATATATTTACAGGTACTTCGACCTGGTGTCTTATGGTTTCTAAGAAATTTGAATGATCCAGATTTTAATCCAGTACAGGAAATGATCCACTTGCCCATTTATAGGCATCTCCGAAGATTTATTTTGTCAGTGGTGAGCAGACCTTTCCATTGTTCTTTTTGAATAAAGTGTGCTATTCTTCAGTTTCATTCTTCAGTTTCTTCAGTTTCATTTATTCTTCAGTTTCTTCAGTTTCATTTAACGGGGTTTTTGTTGTTGATTTTGGATCAGGAGGGCTGATAGATTACACTTATCTAAGCCTGTGGAACTCATTTGTCAAATAGCTGTTTTACTTCTTTGTTAAAAATAAATAAAATGAAGTTTACTAAAATAAATATGCCTTCTAGTTGTGTAGTAGCATGATTACCAATTATGGGTGTTTGAATTCTATTTAATTTGCATCCAAGTAATGAAAATTTGTTACTGCCTTCTAAAGTATAATCTTAATAGAAGCATCTGAAAGTTTCTTACATCTGTAAGAAATAATTACCTGGGTAAACAAAACAAAATTCTAAAAGTAATATTGTGCTTTTTGGAATCTTTTATGGCCATTAATAGGGGTCATGTCTTAGATGATTGCAGATATTTATTTAGTTGAAGTTGTAGGCAGTTCTTCATCATAAGATTCTAGTTCTCTTCTGGTAAGTCCTGCAGTGATGATTCTTTGTGGCTCCTGTTTCAGCTCTTGTGACCTGGAGAAAGGGGTCAATCCTTTCAATGAGGGGAACAGCCATTCTAGGAATGTAATTTATATGGAGTGACCCAACGATAGTATAAAGAGTGAAACCACCTGGGCTCTGAGTAGATACAGGCGTGGGCAGAGAGTTAATTGTGTTTAGAAGTCTACCTGCATTGCATAAAAGTGGTGGACTCTCACAGTGCTGTCGTGTCCTCTTTTTTTACTGCAGATTGTCTTTGGCTCCATTGTCCTCCTGATGCTTTGGCTTCCTATACGTATAATTAAGAGTCTACTGCCTAATTTTCTTCCCTACAATGTCATGCTGTACAGGTAAGTTGCTAAAATTTAAAATAGCTGTAATAATTTACCACTGTTAGGAATTTGATGGTCAGATTACAATTAAACTTTTAAAACATTAATTTCTCATAGATACTAAGAAATTTTTATCTCAGGTCTAGATCAAGGTTTTATTATCCTTTTCCAAAATAAATCATTATTCTGTCCTTTAAAGTTGTCTTTGTTTTATTACTTAATTCTTTCTGTAATCTCTGTGAAATTACTTTATAAATATTTGCTCTTTTATCCAAGAGAGCAGTAGTAATTCCTTTTTTTTTTTTTTTTTTAATCAGGAATTGTACCCAGGGTGCTTAATCACTGAGCCATAACCTCAGCCCTTTATAATATTTTATTTAGAGACAGGGTCTTGCTGAGTTGTTTAGGGCCTCACTGAGTTGATGAAGCTAGCTTTAAACTTGGTAATCCTTCTGCCTCAGCTTCATGAGCCACTGGGATTATAGGCATGCACCAACACACTTATTTGGGTCTTAATGCCTTATATAGGAAATCTCAGATTTGTATCCACTAAATTAAAACTGACAAATATTTATATGTTGATTTTTTTCTTAAGTGGCAGAAAAAATGCTGGTAATGAATTTAAAATACAAAATTCAGTTTTTGCTTTTTAAATTGTTACTCTTTTGCAGTAAGACTTTATTTTTCTACATGTAGGACTTTTGTAGATTTGTAGGACAATTCTGTAATTCTTACTTTTTATTCATGTATAGTGTGTGTTTGGGTTCCGTTGTGATGAGAACCAGAAAACAGGTCTGGCTTTATATATTGTTGGAATAAAATCATTTGGTAATCAGTTGTATCTATAAGTTTAACAACATTTTTGTGCTATATATTAGTATCTAGTTCATTCTTTCCTTCAACTGAGGGTTCACCATATGGCAGGCACTTTTCTATATCCTAGGGGTATAACTGAACATAACAGAATCAAGAAAAATCTTTGTTCTATGAAGCTTACATTTGGGGATAGGAGACAGACTTTAGAATAGGTAGAATATATAGTATGCCAAATGGTTATAGTGCAGAAAAGTGAAGTAGGGAAAGAGAATACGGAGAATAGCCAGGTTGGGGTTGCTATTTAGAAAGAGTGACCAATAAAGAGCTGAGAAGGTGACAGCTGACAAGAGCCCTGAAGAAGGCAGTGAAGGGGTATACTTAGCCCATATGACCAGGTCACATTTACCTAGAGAGCTAGCATAGATGAAAGAAGAAGGCAGAGCCTGGGGCCCTTTGGTTTTCCTAGGTTGATCTTAACCTTTCAGGGAGAAAATGTTGTAAGAAGGAAAGGGTGAACATTTGTAAATCATATTACTCACATAACAAGGTGAGAGCCAAGGTCTGACCTTTGACTTAATACCATGAAGGCCATTGGTGACCCTTACCAGAAACAATTTTGGTAGAATTTGGGAGGGAAACTTCACTGAGTTAGAGAGAGAGAGATGGGGAGAGAGGAGAGGTAATAAAGACAGTGAGTTTATTTGACTCACTGGATTTTGTTTTTAATTTTATTCAATATTTAATATATAGTTACAATGGAAAATAGAATTCACATTATACATCATGGTTCTTTATATTGTCTTAGTGATGCTCCAGTAAGCGAACTGTCCCTTGAGCTACTTCTGCTTCAGGTTGTCTTGCCAGCATTACTCGAACAAGGACATACGAGACAGTGGCTGAAGGGGCTTGTGCGAGCATGGACTGTCACTGCGGGATACTTGCTGTGAGTATATTTTTATCAGTCCACCCTTTTCTGGAGAATGTACACAATTTTTATCTTGTTATGGAGGTTTGATTCTTGTCTAGGTTCTTTTATGCTGTTTATACAGGCCAAGAATTTATTTAATTTTTTTAGCACATTATAAACAAATTAGCTTTCCTTTATTTTTATAGATTCTAAATTGATAAACTCTTCTCAGATTTGAATTCTCAATTGTTTAGTAACCATATTTCATTAATTTATTGTGATTTAAAACTTTCACAGAAAATGTTGGGGATTCTGTAGATATCTTAACATGAAATATTATAGATTTGGTTTTATGTAATTGAACATTTATCTTCTCTAGCCACTTCTCCCCAGTCTCATTTTTTTTTTTTTTTTTGGCTTAAGTGATATGCAGCTAGGAGAATTTAGTTAAGCTACATATCACAGTAGTTATGATTGTCATCTGGAGAGAAGAAAATAATTTCTCCCATCCTAAAGATCTTCACATGGAATGTTTTGTATGTTGTCTTTTTTTTTTTTAATTTCCTGATTTCTTTTCAGATGTTGGCAAAAACCAAAATAGATTAAATGTGTGGTCTATAGATTCTACATATACATTTTCTACTCTTAGTAAATATTAAGAAAGCAACTCTCATGGCTACCATTTTATTTTGACCTGAAATGAGATTTTTTTCACTGATGTAATTTTCACACAGGGATCTTCATTCCTATCTGTTGGGAGACCAGGAAGAAAGTGAGAATAGTGCAAATCAACAAGTCAACAATAACCAGCATGCTCGAAATAACAACGCTATTCCTGTGGTGGGAGAAGGTCTGCATGCAGCCCACCAAGCCATACTCCAGCAGGGAGGTCCTGTCGGCTTTCAGCCTTACCGCCGGCCTTTAAATTTTCCACTCAGGGTAAGTACTATACAGACTTAACTAGAAATGCTTTTTTCCCAAAATTTCTATTGAGAGTTGTGCTATTAGCATTGGTGTTGTGGTTATGCCTTAAACTTTCCTGATAAGAACCCATGTTTTATTACCTTCATTATGCAACGTAAGTAAGGGATCAAATAAGTTTATCAAATTTTAGAGATGGGCCATAGAGTTGGGATTTCATGGGGTTTTGCTCTTTCCTGTTTGAGAAGGAGAAAAGACTATACAGACTAAGAAAGAAACTAACATTGGTAATTTCAACTGTGTGTCAGGAACTGGAATAAGTATTTTAATGTTTTTCCCCCACTTAATCCCCACTCAAATATGGTGAGGTGTGGGTGGTAATCTCACCTTAATAGCTGATGAAACTAAAAGTCAGATTGGTTAAGTAAGTGTCCAATTTCATCATCTTAAACTACCAAATAATCAGTTTATGATTCACAATTTTATCGAAAATGTAAGCTGATGACTACTGTATTATTACAATGCAATGAACTCATCCTTCAATTACATCCAGTCAGTTATATTTTAAATGCCCTTTAATAATGATATGAGCTTATGAGTAGGATCATTTTGAAACTTGGGTAGGTTATTTACCTTTCAGCCTTGGTTCTTTTTTTCTAAAAATAGTTGTAATAATGCCTTTCTGGACTGCTTGTGGATCAGATGTCTTCATTGAGTCTTATAGATATGTTTTCCATACCTCACCATTTCTGATGCCCATGAAGGATATAGAGAACATGCATAGTCTTTGCCCTGAAAGAGCTTACAGTCTACTTGGGGAGATAGGAAAACAAGCAGTGGCAGATTTGGGTTCTTAAGGTAGATTATGGACAGAGGGTGCTGTGATGGCTTCATTGAGAAGCCACTGGTGCATAGTATAAGCCCAAAGGAATCCCCATGAAGGGCATGATGCCTGAACTGTATTAATAAAGTAGAGAGATCAGGCAGAGAAAAAACTGGAAAGTGGGAAGAGCATTCCACAATATGCCAGGAAAGAGTACTTTAGCCATGGTGGACTTGGAACTGCAGATAATTGAATATGTTTGAAAGGTGGGCATGTATGCAGGAGAGAGGTGAGGCAGAAGGGGAGCAATGAGAGATGGGGCTTTTGGATGTGCAGGAACCAGTTAGGGGAATGTTGAACATTGTTTGTGCCATAGTCATTAGTGTACTGTTGTTCTTCCTACTCCCTTAAGGGAAAAACCACTGTTCTAATTCTAGAGGACTTTGCTTTATAACTGGAGGAAACACGAAGGTCATCTTTTCCTTTGCCTCTTACTCTTAAAAGCAGGCGTCAAGGTGGGGAATTGCTGGAGGGACTGCAAATTGGTGCAACTACTAAGGAAAGCAGTATGGAGATTTCCTCAGAAGACTTGAAATGGAATCACCATTTGACCTACTTATCCCACTCCTTGGTTTATACCCAAATGACTTAAAATCAGCATACTACAGTGACACAGCCACATCAATGTTTATAGCAATTCAGTTCATAAACTATGGAACCAACCTAGGTGCCCTTCAACAGATGAGTGGATAAAGAAAAAGTGTTATATAGACACAATGGAGTATTACTCAGCCTTAAAGAAAAAATAAAATTATGGTATTTGCTGGTAAATGGATGGAGCTGGAGAATATCATGCTAAGGGAAATAAGCTAATCCCAAAGAACCGAAGACTGAATGTTTTCTCTGATATGTGGATGCTAATTCACATTGTGGGGTGGTGGCTAGGGAAGAATAGAGGTACTTGGGATTAGACGGGAGTGAAGGGAGGGAGGGGATATGGTGGTAGGAAGAATAATAGAATAAATCAGATATTATTACTCTGTTTACATATATGATTACACAACCAGTGTGATTCTACACCATGTACAACCAGAAACATGAGAAATTACACTCTGCTTATGTATGACGTGTCAAAATGCATTATATTGTCATGTATAACTAATTAGAATAAAAAAAATAAAAAAGCAGACCTGATAGGGAATTTCTTTTTTCCCTTTCCATGGTCTTTACCCAGCCTTCTTGGCTCTCCATGAACAAAAAAAAAGGCCTTAAGCAAAAAGTACTTTCTGACTAGATGAGAGAATCACTAAGGGTTCCCCCCACCCCCCCTAAAAGTTGAACCCAGGGGTACTTTACCAATGAGCTACATCCCCAGTCGTGTGAGTGTGGGTGAGGGTGTATATGTATACACTGGGGATTATGCCCAGGAGTGCTTAACCACTAAGCCACAACCCAGCACTTGTTATTTTTTATTTTGAGACAGGGTCTCACTAAGTGCTCAGGTTGGTCTTGAACTTGTGATCCTTCTGCCTCAGCCCCTTGAGTTGTTTGCCACCATCCCCCAGTTAGGCAGTTTCTTTTCAATGAGAAAATCGTGTGGTTTCTTTGAGGTATGTTGTAAAATACATGTGAAAACTCTATGCACTCTTTGTTCTGCTTTGCAGATATTTCTTTTGATTGTCTTCATGTGTATCACATTACTGATTGCCAGCCTCATCTGCCTTACTCTACCAGGTATGAGTTTATTCTACTTTTCAGCTATTAATATCATTATTTTTTAAAAGGTCATATCTTGCAGAAATGTGATTTTTTTCCCTCAGATATGAAATTATCCTAATTTTTAATTCAGTATAGAATTTTGATCTATTTAGGAGTCCTCATTTTATTGAACACATTCCTTAGAGCATTGGGGACAAATCAAAATAAAATTTATGAATGGATTTGTGGGGCTGGGGATACAGCTCATTCAGATACAGCTCATTGCATGCACAAGGTCCTGGGTTCAATCCCCAGCACTACCAAAAAAAAAAAAAAAAAAGAAGGATTTTTGGCATAAAGTACCTACGCTCAGTTTTTATGGATACATTACAGGGTGGATTTTCTAAAAGTAATTTGTATGATGTATCAGTTTTCCAAGCCAGTGTTTTAATATGAATTATGTTTGTTTTCATTATATAATTGTCTTTCCCATCTATTGTATACTGTTCCTAGAGAGCATTATGAAGCCAGACTTTATTCTCTTTATCATCTGGTATTCACAAGTACTAATCTTCTCTGGCATTAAGATTTGTTGGATATTTTAATGGATAATGTTTCTTCATTTAAAAAGTATACACTGCAGTTTAATATAATTTTCTCCAGAGGTCGGAAATGAATGGGATAGAATCCTAAACCAGTGACAGAGTTGCAGAATAACTTAGTCCTCCTCATTTATATCCAGCAAGAAAATTCTAAATCATGTTGACCATGATAACCACTTAAGTACCACTTAAGTAATAATTAAATAGAAGGTATAGAAATATTAGATTTTTCAACACTAAGAAAAATACTTAAAGCTACTTTCAACTCTTATCAGACATAAATGTATTGTTCTCTTGATTATAACACCAGTTCAATATAATTTCATATAAATAAAGTTTATATTAAATGTGTATTCCCATAAATCTTTAGGCTGGGCAAGAGAAACTAGGAAAATTAATTTCAAGTGATGTTTCTAAAAAAAAAAATTGCCCCTGTAAGTTGAAGAAATTATTATTAAATCTCCCAATTAGTAAAAACAAACAAACAAACAAATAAATAAATAAATAAGAATTTCAGCTGGGCATGGTGGTGCACATCTGTAATCCCAGCAGTTTGGGAGACTGAGGCAGGAGGATTGCAAGTTCAAAGCCAACCTTAACAATTTAGCAAGGCCCTGTCTCAAAGAATTAAAAAAGGGGCCGAGTATGTGATTCAGTTTTTAAGCATCCCTGGGTTCAATCCCTAGTACCCCCTCCCCAAATTATTATTATTGTGATAAAATAAATAAAATTTCATTTTTTTTTAGTTTCTAAAGCATAATGATTTTTAGCCTTGAAGATTTTGTGTGTGGTGGTGCATACTTGTAATCCACGACTTGGAAGGCCTCAGCAACTTAGTGAGGCCTTAAGCAAATCAGAGACCCTGTCTTTAAACAATATATTAGAAAAGGGCTGGGGATGTGACTCAGTGGTTAAGTGCCCTTGGGTTCAATCACTGGTACCAAAAAAACTAAAAGGTTTTGCTCTGAAGTTTACTCCAACTTATATCACAGGTATTAAAATGACAAAGCTTAGTTAACTTGAAGGCAAGGTAGTACTAAACATGTTGCTAAAAAACATTTATAGTTTTTAATGTTTCATTTTCATGTTTTTAACCATAAATATTTTTTTAAAAATTAACAAAAGGAAACTATTTTTATACTAGAATAATTTAGTTTTTCCCCAGTTCTGTTGCTCATGCTTGTGATCTGAGTGATATGGGAGGCTGAGTGAAGCAGGATTGCCATGTTCAAGTCCAGCCTCAGCAACTTAACAAGACCTTGTCTCAAAATAAAAAGGACTGGGGTATATAGTTCAGTGGTAAAGCAACCCTGAGTTCAATCCCCAGGAACTTAGTTTCATTAAACATTTTTTAAAGTAAATGTTTCCCTTTAATCAGGTTCTACCATATAATGGAAAGTAATTTTAGGAATACTGAGATATAGTTAGAGGGTATACAGATGCTGTTTGACCTCAATAAGTTACTTTTCATTAGTTACATATTAACTGATAACGTTGTTGCAAACTAAAAACTAACCCTCTCAACACTTTTTTGATGAGAAATATAGAATAGTAGGTGGTCACTAAATGTAAAACTAGCACCAAAACAAAAAAAGAAATATATGTAGAAAGTAGATATTTCTATGGAATTATTGATGATTTTGATATTTTCAAATTAACATGCACATGCTTATTTTATATCATATGCCACATACCCAGCTCAGATCACATTCTCATGTAACATTTACAGATATTTGTCCCCCACACACACACCCTGGGTTTCAAACCAGGGCCTTTCTTATTCATGCTGGGCAAAGTGATCTCTCACTGAGCTATAACTCAACCCTGTGTTTGTCTTTTAAAAAATGATTATTTTCATACCCATACTATTTTGTGACTTGTAAGAAGTCTATGGTCATCCTCACAATGACTTGTAAGACTTTACATTTGACTGTTGAGCTAGTTTAGTTTAATTTGGAATCAGTGTAATCAGTGGTCAAGATGAAGACATGAATTTAAATTCAGCTCCACTTTGTATAACTTTGGTTGGGGAAGGTTCTGTTGCTGAGCCTGGTTCCTTCCTTCCTCTTGTCCCTTCCTGTCCCTCCTTTTCCTTCTTTCTTGTAATAGGGATTGAACCTGGGATCTTGCATATGCTAGGCAAGTGCTTTACCACTGAGTTACAACCTTTTTATTTTTCAAATTTTGAAATGGGGGTCTCACTAGGTTGCCTGGGTTGGCTTCAAACTTTCTGTCTTCCTGCTTTAGCCCACCAGGTAGCTGGAATTAAAGATGGTAGGTATATCTCCACACCTGACTTGAGTCTAGTTTCCTTATCTTTAAAATGAAGATTGTGTCTATAGTGGGTCTGGGTATTGTTGTAGGATGAATGAGGTAATATATGGAAAACTAGTCCAATTACCAGCTCCTTTTTAGGTGTTCAAAACCAACACTACCATATTAGGAAGGCAATCTATAGAGTAAACATTCACTAGATATTTTGAGTCTTGTTAACTCTAGTCTTACTGAGAAGTCATCATGTAAATAAAGTTACAAATTATGTAAATGATCTTATCTTGAGATTGTCTGGATACACTGTAGAATTGATTTCTCTCAACTCTTAGATAGCTCTCAATTCTGTCTTACCTTTAAGTATATTTAGGTGGTCTTAATTGCTTCTAATATGGTATTCTTTTACTGTTGTGCTTTAAAATGTTATTGTGCCTACCTTTTATTAAAATTAGCTTTTGGTGAATGAGCTATTTGAAAGAAAGCTCATTATGATTTATCTAATCATAATGTTGCTAAATTTTAAAAAGTGTTGACAAAACAAATAACAGAATAAAGGTAGAAAGTTTTTCTGCTGTGTGCATAATGATTTCAGTTAGTTAAAGAGTGAAAATAATTCTGTCAGGCTGGGAAGAACATGTAATTGGCATGGCAAATCAGAGTGCATTATCTTGGAGAGAATTCATCCCCTCTGACTTATGTTTTGCTTTTGCTTTATCATATAATTTTGTGCTCTAAAAGGCTCCCCCCCGCTCAATGTGAAAATACTAATAAAACATCAGAATGCAGTTCTCTTTACCTAGCCACTTGTCTCATTTGTCAGCCTTTTTATTTTCAGTATTTGCTGGCCGTTGGTTAATGTCCTTTTGGACTGGAACTGCCAAAATCCATGAGCTCTACACAGCTGCTTGTGGTCTGTATGTTTGCTGGCTAACCATAAGGGCGGTGACTGTGTTGGTGGCATGGATGCCTCAGGGACGAAGAGTGATCTTCCAAAAAGTTAAAGAATGGTCCCTTATGGTAAGTTTTTGTAATTAAAGATTCGTCTTTCTTATAGGTGTAATGAATATTTTTCTAGTCATTTCTTTAATTCTCCCATTCCTACTTTCATTCATTATAGTGGTAGTTTTGTTTTGTTTTGTTTTGTTTTTAATTTGGAGGAAAAAAACTCTTTTAAGATAGTCGTTTCTGCTTCATTCCAAGAATTACAGTCCTATATTCAAATGTATTTGAGGGTTAAAAGAAAAACTAAGTGACCTGGTAAAGACCCTTGAAAACAAGATAATTTAAAATTAGGAAAACTTATTTGTGGAGATTAATTGCATTTTTAAGAGAGGAGATACTCAATTGAAAACCAAATTTAAGTAGAATTTTATTTTATTAGTATTTTTTCCAAAATATTATTTTAAAAATCTGTTTGAATATGTAAAGTCTTAACTTCAGGATCTAGGCATTTTTTTTTCATATTAATTGTATTCCTTTAACTATATAGGAAAGTCTTGGCTAATGTGAAAGTATAATAAGTAATGGAAATTATTTCTCTCAAACTTGTTGATCACAATTGTAGGGTAAAAAAAATATAAGATGATTTTTCAAATATGGTGATTAATGTCTGGATTTATGTAATGTTGGCTATGACTTGTAAATATGTGTAAGTCACTGCTCATGACTTTTCATTTGTGTAATCAACTGTAATTTTGCATCCAGATTTGTAGTTTGATGTCACTTGAAGTTTGTCCATTTAATATTACTATTGAAAGAAAAACACAATTATGTTTATAGCTTATTATTTTGACATTAACTGTACAAATTGCCATGTATAATATATGTATACTGAATATAATGTACTTGACATTTTCATCTCTGTACAGTTATTAAATGTTCATAATACATTGCTCTATAAAGAAGCAAGTACTTTGTCTTCCATGTATAATATCACATTTGGTCTGTTATTGAAACAGAAATAGTCACTGAGGCTACGTTAAAAAGAGGTCTCCCAAAACATTTCATTGTCAGAATTTCATAGTTGTTCTTTCCATAATGTCAATTTTTTCTTTTTTTCTCTACATTTTTTATTGGTGTATTGGAGTATATCATTATTGCATTTGTTGTTACATATTTATAAATGTACATGATATAACAAATTGGCATATGTCACTCCCTCAACTTTTATTTTCATTTTGCCACTTGGTTCAGCTTTTAGAGTTGCATTAATACATTAGCCATGTGACTAAATGGACAGATATGGACCATTGCTGCCACAAAGGGAGCCAATTTTGATCGTCTTGATAATTACTTTAACTAGGATTATGCAGAACCCTTTCCCTATACCAGTCTACTTCAGGGGTCATGGATCAGCCTATAGAAGGGACTGTTGGACCAGGGTTCTCAGCCAGTCAGTAGTGTTTTCTTAGACAAACAGAAGTCTAAACCTGAGAATGGAATTTTGAGAAAAAAAGCACATAGTTACCAGGTTATTATTAATTTATAATAAAATGAATTTTCTGTAATCCCTTTTCTAGCTATAATGAATACTAGTTTTAAAGTTTTCATTATAATTTGAGTTCTCATAGTGATGGAACCAGGAAATTTCACTTGAACTTGTAACATAAAAATGTGCATGAGTATTTTAAAATGGTCTAGGCATTAGGTCAAGGAGAAAAAAATAAACCTCCAAATGGAATAAAGAGTTTGTCTAAAAGTCAGGAAGATCATCTTACTGACCATGGTCTCTTGCTTCCTAATAGATAATGAAGACCTTGATAGTTGCTGTGCTGCTGGCTGGGGTTGTCCCACTCCTTCTGGGGCTCCTGTTTGAGCTGGTTATTGTTGCTCCCTTGAGGGTTCCTTTGGATCAGACTCCTCTTTTTTATCCATGGCAGGTAAATACTTGTCTTTTGCTGATCATAGTTTAAATAGTTGGGATCAGAAAGAATACTTTTAAGTGAATGATTAAGAATAATTTTAAGTGATTTTTGATTTGTAACCAGTTGGTTTAGAAAGGCTCCTTGTTTTTTAAAATTATATAAATAATTTCCATTAATCTTTTGCTCTCAGAAATTTTAGTTCAAATAATTTCTTTAAAAGAGCTTACTTTTTAGGTTAAAATACCCTGTTAAAATATCCAGGCTTCTCCAATATTTAAAGATACCAACTAATGTGTTGACTTTCTTTCTTTTTCTTTCTGCCTTCTTTTCTTTCTTTCTTTCTTTCTTTTTTTTTTTTTGTACCAAGGATTGAACCCCAAGGCACTTAACCACTGAGCCACATTCCCATCTCTATTTATTTTTTATTTTGAACAGGGTCTTGCTAAATTGCTGAGGTTAGCTTTGAACTTTGAATACTCCTCCCTCAGCCTCAGCAGGAGGCTGTAATCCCTCCTGCTGGGATTACAGCCACTGCATGTGGCTGATCTTTTCATTTTTGAACTAATGTAAATTTTTTTGCTCTTTTTGACTTTAAGACTTTAATACTTTTGAATAATTGACATCATATTTCCCCAAATGTCTCAGGTTCATTAAAAAGAGTAGCCTGATGGAATCTATATCAAAGCAAAAATCTTAAAGCTCAAACAGAAAGCACTTTAATGTGTGCCCAGACTCTGAACTGTGTAACCCAGCTCAAAATGAGGCCACTGCAGGAACCTGAGGAACTTATATTTTGGTAGGAAAGCTAGACAGGTGCATAGGTAGTTTGTATGATAAGCATGGGAGCTATAGTATCATGTAGAAGAGTATTTAGCTTAGGTGTGCTAGTTTCAGATGTGATTTTTTTTTATAGGAGATAATAACTAAGCCAATTTAATTAGCACAATATTGAAGATGGGTAAGAAAGGAAGGAGTATATTCCAGGTAGAAACTAATGGGCAGATCTGGAAATAAGACAGAGAATACATAATCTAATCCAGTCTGACTCATAGTCTAGAATTAGTAAGATAAATGAGAACTAAAAAGAAATAAGCCTATATTATTTCTTTCTGTAAATGTTGCATTACAAAGCAGATAGAATCAGTAATTGAAGAAAATGGAGTTTTTTAGTTTTTAAATAGCGAATAATGCCAGCTAATAAAGGTAGAAGGATTAACAGAATTAGAAAACCACTCTTGTAATACCTAAAAAAAGAATAATCCTAGCTCGGCACAGTGGTGCATATCTGTAATCCCAGCAGTTTGGGAGGCTGAGGAAGGAGAATTGCAAGTTCAAAGCCAGCCTTAGCAATTTAGTGAGGATCTAAGCAACTCAGTGAGATGCTATCTCAAAAAATTAAAAGGGCTGGGGTTGTGACTCAATGGTTAAATGCCCCTGAGTTCAGTCCCCAGACTGCCACCCCTCACACAAACACATACACACACACACATACATACACACACACACACACACACACACACAC